GCTGCACATCCTCTCCGTAGTCCTCGCTCTTTTGAGATGGACCTTTGCACACTTGTCTATCCCAAATTTCATACTAAGGATAAGCCAATGCATGGGGTCTACTTCAATAGCACTGAAGACATTGGCTTATCAAATCGCCTGACTTTCGCTTTCCTTAGGTTGAGTGGGCTGAAGTTGAAAACTGAGGAGTTTATCATGGCATGCCAGGATGGTGTCTTCAACACCTTAGTTTACCGCAGTCGCGTGATGGTTCCTGCCGCGAGGCGTCCGAGACCCTAATGCACTCGCTCTCAGCATGTCCAGCATATGCGGTATCGGCCTATATCCATCGATATAACGTGGTCCTAAGAGTGCTTTATTACCATCTACGGCACTCTTACGGTATTGATGAGACACCGGTGTTGCCCTACGCTTTGCTGTAGTCCTTATCGACCACCAGAGCAAGACGATATTTGTCGAGGAGTTTTCAATTCCTTGCGAGACGAATATCGTCCGAGAAGAGGAGGAAAAATGGATAAAATATCGAGATTTTCTCTTCGAACTCCGCAGACTCTATCCAGACCACTCTGTTGAGATGGTTGTTCTGATTATTGGAGTCCTTGGTGGAATGATGCCCTCTCTACTCTTGAAACTTAAAATCATACCGGCTTGCCGCAATAAGACAGAAATCTTAGCCGGAAAAATGCTAAGGCTGTCATTCTTGGCCCACTGCGCTTTCTCAGTGCACATGATTCTCGGACCCAATGATCACTTACCCCACGGTGTGGGGAGTGGTCGTTGGTTGATAATGCTGGCGCGCCCTCCCGAATGTATCAGGGCTTCGAGGGATAGAGCCTGACCAGCGCATACTTCGGTAAAAAAAATAGTGATAATAAAATCAAAATTTGGCTGACACGTATATCTATCTATATCCATCTGAATCTTCCTATCAACACATATACAATTTTTCGAAAACAGCACAGTTCATCATCTAAATTATACTTGTTCATCAAGAAGGTGAGTTCTCATCCTTTTTTTGAAGCTTGTTCACTCAAAATCGTTGAGGATTGAATTATAAACCTTCGACACTTAATAAAGAAAGGATCTTTCATATGTGGTTTATGTATTGGAGGTGTATAGTTCCATCAAAACGTACGTTTATATTATGGATATCCTCTCTGAAAGTAATTTTGTTCGAAAGGTAAGGTGAGGTGAAAGGTAAGGTGAGGTTTTTGAGCTGATAATTTTGTGAAACAGACAAGACAAATGCAACAATTGTCTCCTTGCCATATTCAGCCATTTATACTCATTCAGTTTATGTGTTTTGCTTTGTCGCCTTCTCATCCCATGTATGAGCTGCAAATACGACTTTGGCATTACTTGTATTTGACGGATATCTTCGGCATTCAACATGGGCTATATACCGAGTCACAATAATTAAACTGAGCTAGTATCAATGAATCACAGAGAATTGATTCCATTTTCAGATTTAGAAACTTGCATATATTTTCTTCAAGTTCACCAATGCTATTTGGCAAATATGACATATGAAATTTGAATCTCAGTTCATCATCCATAAATAATCTCAAATTGCGGGAGCATCTTACCTGTGACATTACTTGATTTTCAACGCATATTTTCACGTTTTCTATTTTTCACTGTTGTAAAACCTAATACCGTTGTTTTATTTGCATTCATCTTTAAACAATGACTTCTAGATTAGTTGAAATAGAAATTCAAAAAACATCGAAAAAAGTTTTATGTGTTTATCGTTAAAAATGTCGGATAAGTGGGTCCAGCCACCTTTTTTCACTCCCTTAGCAGTACGTTTTGTATGGCCTTAAAGACAGAGTATTTTCCCGATAGATGTAAAGTATCAAAAATGTGTCCAAAAGCCAAATCAGGGGCTTCAAATAACATTCTGAACTATCGACCCAATAACAATTCTGTCCAACTTTGCTGAGATCTTTGAAATGTGTTTGTATAACATTATTCCTGATATGAGAAGTAGTATAATTCTATATCAACATGGTTCCATCAATAAACGTTCAACAATAACTAATCTCATGTGTTTTATACAAATCGTCAGCACTGCGTTGAATAAACAGCTACAGGTGGATACAATCTATTTAGACTTCTCAAAGACCTTTGATAAATTGAACCATCAAATTTTAATGAATAAACTCTTTTCTGTTGGTCTCGACAGTCAACTGTTGAATTTACAACAGGCTCACCTTCAGAATCTCACGCTATTTGTGGAATACAACATATTACTCTCTGCTGGCGACTTGTAGTTTTTCAGATCCATTGAATCAACAGAGTACTGTTTTATTCTGCAGAAGGAAAGCAATAGAGATCCACAAATACACGGAGAATTTCAACAGAAAAGAAGAAGCGGTGAACCTCAATCGAATATGGAATCCCATTTCAAGGAATTTGAGAATAACGAACAAAATGACAACAGGTAGCAAGATTGTTAATGTTCCAGGTTCAAGTGAAGGTACAAGTGCAGATACAAGTACATATACAGGTACCAATACAACTGATTACCTGACAAGGCATAAATACGCTTTACGAAGCCTAAAAGTTAGTCATCGGATAGCAAGACATAATGGTTGAACCTCTGAAGAAGCTAGCTACTCGCGCCAGCGAAACGTCAGGAAGAAATTCCAGAAATCCACGGCTTTCAAACTCGAAAAACAGTGACACTGACAACAATATACAGTTCGACTATGCAATAAATGACGTCATATTAGAACAAAGCCTTGAAACTAAAGATCTGGGCATCGATAAGAAACTCATCTAAAAGAATACTTGGACTCATCTTCAGGACGTGTAGAGACTTTCAAAACCAAGAATGTTTTATAACTTTTCAATGCGTATGTCCGATTTCGTTTGGAATATGCTTCCCTAATCTGGTCACCTGTAAACAAAGTGCATATACTACATCAACTCGAATCTTTGATAATTTCTATGAAATACATGGCTTACAAACTAGATGGAGCTTACGCATCCCAAGGAATTGATAATAGTGTTGCTGAATATATTTGCCCTCTTATCCTTAGAAAACAGAAGAACATGTTATGCTTGTATATTCATATATAAATTGATTCATAATCTGGTAGACTGCCCAGATTTGTTATCTCAAACTAGATTTTCACGTACCGGGATGAAGTAGTAGAAACGAAATCTTCTTCTATTTGCCTATACCAAGAATCAATGTGTTCATAACAGCTGTGAAATTTATAATAGTTTCTATTCAGAATGTGATATTTCTGTTGTTCCATTTGGACATTTCAAGTGTATAATTTGTAACAAGTTAATCTATATGCAAGTCTATTTACAATCTAATCACAACCCATGAAGGTGACATACTGTGTTTCAACCATCTGCACACTGTTAATTCAATTAGAATTCTATAGTATATATATGCACGATGTGTGAAGAGGAAGATGATACTGTCAAGCATGTCCTGTGCGAGTGCCCGGAGTCATCGTCAATGAGAGAGTGTGTGTTCGGCGAGTCTTGGCCTACACCTGCCGATATAAAGGAGATGTCTCCCAGCGACCTGTCCACCTTCCTGGAAAGGACAGGATGGACGATGACCTAGGAGGACAACTCCTCGGGAGGATGGGTCACATGTGGCTTGAGTGCGTGAGCTTACACTCACCCTCCCTACAGATACAGATATATACAAAATACTGTTCCAAAAATATCACCTTTTTCAAAATCTGACTGTTTATTAGGGTATCTACATTTTTTTTTCATTTTTTTCTACTTTACTTCCACAAACGGAATGTTTGCTGAATGTTTATTATTTGAATATCAATTGTTTGGGATTCAAAATTGAAGGTTAATGTTTTGTATTGATTTTTACTTTATTCTGGAAGTCTAGTTCAAAAACTTGGTCGGTGAAAAGTGCATCGCGAAGAGTGTTGGAGTGCTGTTGTGTGAGAACAGTGATTAGTTCAGATTTATTCTATGCCAGAGATTCCAATTATACTTTTCAGTTATATTAGGGTGGTAAAAAACTCTCGCTGTCTTTAGGAAAGCAGCTAGAGCAGGGATACAAAAAATAAAAAGGGCAAGCGTTTGTTGCATCATCTGAGTTAGCCTTAGGAATGATAAAACATGCAGTTACTCAAGATAATTTAAAGTTTTTGCGATATGCAGACATGCGAAAGAAAAACTGAATAAAAAAATGTGACGGGAATGCTAACTCGGATCCCCTGTTCTCTAGACAGGGATATCCAGATACTATGTTAAGGGAGCCACATTTTTTCTTTTCACTTTTCCTTTCCTATTTTTAGTGTAAATAATACATATCGATAAGTGAATAATATTAAAAATTCTTTCTGATAACGCTGAATTAATATCTTTTGATGTCTGAAATTTATTTCCCAATACTCCGTCAATTGAAATAATTGACACTATTACAATTACAATTTTTCAGAATATAGACTTTATTTCCAATACAAGGTTCACTACTTCATGATAGCAACTTCAGTTGGACCCCAGCCCAACACGAAATGTGTTATTGATATTCACCAAATAACGGATGTATTGGAAATATGAAAAAAGTAAGTTGGTTGAGCATACCTCAGACAGAAATCATATAAATCCAGTAGTAAAATAGAAAATTCTGAATTTACTTATCATTTGTCAATATATGTTTTTAATTTAATGGAAAGTTTTATTCAAACAGTGAAGGGTTGATGATGGAAAACTCGTTGAGTCCTTGAGTGATATTATAATCAGTTGGTAAATGATTTCTCAGTTTATTTTATTAGTACAGGTGGGCAATTAGGCAAGTTTGAATGCACCACTAAATGAAGATGAATAATCAAATAGGAGTGAGAAAGAAACACGTGTTGCGCCCTACAATGGCGAAACACGTGTTGCGTTGTTGTTAATTTGAATAGTGAAAATTTCACAATAATAAAGTGCTTTTGAATTCGTTGGTTATTCGTTATTGAAGTTGGATCATAAAAAAAAAAACGTACTGAAATTCAAGTGTATATTCATAGTAATCAGACAAAAAACAAGAGAATTTCAGGAACCAAATTGGAAGCATCAATCTGATGTCTGCGACCCAGATCTACAACGGGATCGTTGGACATACCGATATGAGCAGTTGGACTTCGATCTCGACCGACTAAAACTCCGTGACCTGCTATCAGAATACCTATCCTTCGATTGTTCACTTCTTGAACGAGATCTTGGCGCCGACCCACTCGAACGACTATGTGATTTCTTTCCGCCGATATTTCTCTTTGATTGGTCCATGGTCGAAAGGGAAGGCGACCTTGATTTAGTTCGCGAACGGTTATTGGAAGGACTACTGAACCTCCTGGACAGCTTGTCACTTCCACACTTCGACCTAGATCTACTCCTACTACGTGAACTGCTGCTTCGACTATAATGTGATCGCGAACGGTTATCGGAAGAACTACCGGACCTCCTGGACAGCTGATCACGTCCAGACTTCGACCTAGATCTACTTCTACTGCGTGAACTGTTGCTACGACTATGAGATGAGCGCGAACTTCCACTTCCTAGTAGACTATGTTTCGTACGTATCGATGTCCCGTACTTACTGCGGCCAGCAGACCACCGATCGCGACCTTTGGGCTCTCCTCTTGCCACATCCACAGTCACTCGCACTCCCAGAAGTTTTTTGCCATCCAATTCGTATATGGCATCTTTGGCATTTCTGCTGCCATCAAATTCCACAAAGGCGAATCTCCTTTTGATAAGAATTTCTCTTATTCTTCCATATCCTTTGAAAAAGTCTTCCAGATCCCATTCTTCCGTATTACGGGGAATTCCTCCAACATACACTCTGGATCTTCCCATGTTTTCGATAGAAATAAAATTTATAGATTTCTAAACTTTATGACAATGTAACACTTGTTGTTCGCAAACTTCAAATTGAACTAAATGTATGTATAGCAATCCTGTACTCCTTTTATATAATATTTTGAAATCACTAATCTATTCAGGTACATGATTTAATTGAATCAGGTACACAAAATGATACTTCAACAGGTAGTTATTTCAGACATGAGATTGGAAAAACTAGGAACGACGGTATAGATTTATCACCATAAGTACATATATCATTTATGACTTTCAATAGAGCCGTATGTGTACCATGTTTCGAACGAAAGCCAGACTGTACTTCTGGTAAGATACTATTGAAATCCAGGTATTGTCTGATCTGTAGAGAAAGTATTTTTTCAAAAAGTTTGGAAAATGTAGGTAAGATGCATATGGGACGAATATCGTTAAAACTTTCAGGTGTGGATATTTTAGGTATCGGAATGACATTGGCAATTTTCCACAATTCAGGAAATGTACCTGTTCTCAAGGATTCATGGAAAATGTGTTTTACTTCCTCTATGCATAAGGGCAACACAATTGTTATCATTTTCAGACTAATATTATCTAAACCCAATGCCTGCGATTTCAGAGCATCCCAGAGATGATCTCTTGTTATTTCAGTAAATGAGAATTTCAAGTTACTTCCCAGAAGGTTATTATTATAGAATGATAGTAGTTCCGTATTTACGGAGGTATTAACGGCAACACTCAAAAAATAATTGTTAAGTAAATCAGATTTTTTGTATGTGTTGAAGATGGTTGTCCCATGACATATATTGATTTAGGTGGAGTCCTAAGAATTTGGTCGATTCTGAGTTCTGAATTACGGCAAGAGACTGTTTCTTCTGCACTTAAATTGAATATATACAGTGTTTTCAATATTCACTATCAAATTATTAGCATTGCACCAATATCTGAAAGAGTTTATGACTTCGTTTACAGTATTTTCTAATTCCTTCAGGGTCCGTGCAGAGGCCACCACCGAAGAATCGTCTGCAAACATTGTGACTTGTCCATTCGTGATATGGTCGGGCATATGATTGACGAATATTAAGAATAGTAGTGGTCCCAACACTGACCCCTGCGGAACCCCGATATCCACGAAATAGGTTTCAGAACATTCATTTTTTATTTGTACATACGCCTTTCTTTCATTAAGGTATGACTTCATTACTTCAAGAATTTTTCCTCTTATTCCATTTCTTTCTAGTTTATTCAGAAAAAAAATTATTTGTAGGCTGTCAAATGCACACGAGAGATCAAAGAAAATGCCAGTAACGAAATTGCCTGCGTCAATATTATGATAGACACATTCCATGAATTCAATTGTTGCACTTTCCGTTGATCTCCCTGTGCTGAATCCATGTTGTCGAGATGAGAGAATCTTTTTCCTTTCCAGAAAGTCGACAATTCTTTCATAATAGGTAGGTTCAAACATTTTAGAAATAACGTTTAATATTGTCACCTGTCTATAGTTGTCCGGTGAAGTACGTTCCTTTTTTTTTATGAATAGGTATCACTTTACTCATTTTTAAGTGGGACGGGAATACGCCTGTGTCGAATGTCAAGTTGATCAGGTATGCCAGGGGTTCAGCAATAGTTTCTTTTAGAGTTTTTAGTATTTTCACACTTATTTTGTCATTACCTACGCTTTTTTTGTTTTTGTTTTTCAGCTTGGAAATAGTTGAGAGGACTTCTTGACCATTAACATAGTAGAAATAGAAACTATCGCTGATACTTTTTATAGGCAGTGTACATTCTGTTGATTTACTTTGACCGAATTTCTTGTCTAGTTTTTTCTTCGTTATATGGGAGAAATGAGAAGCAAAACTCACTGTTACTTCTTTCGCTTGATCAATATTTGCGTCATCGATTTTCAAAGTAATATTTGATTTGCTTTTGCTCTTACCTATTTCATTATTCACGATGTTCCATACAGTTTTTTGTTTGTTCTCGCTTCTTCTGATAATATCTGAATTGAACTTCAATTTTTCTTGTATCACTAAATTGTTATAATGCTTATTCTGATTCCTATAAAGTTCCCATTGGTTGGGGTCGTGGTTATTTTTTGCTTGCTTGAATAATATTCTTCGTTTTTTACTGTTGTTGGTGATATCTTCGGTAACCCATCCTTTTTTGGGATGGTTGTTTTTCTGTTTTGATTTTAAGAGACAGTTTGCTTCATTCGCATAGGTTATACTCGATATAAACTCATCAAAAGTTTTGTCTACATCAGGCCCTATTTCATACTTTTTTTCAAATCCATTTAATTCCAAATGTTGCTTTGCTTTATCCAAATAAAAGTCGGACATGATTCTGTAGTTTTCAGTATTTGAACATTCATCATTTTTAGGATGTTCTTGATTTAGTGTCATAGTTGTAAAAATTGCTTGGTAGTCTCCTATGTTTGGTTGGGTTACATAACTATTTCTGTCATTATTACTATTCGTTGCAAGATAATCGATTTCTGTTTTGGACGTTTTGTTTTTGGAGGGAGCTATTCTAGTAGGTTCATTTGAAATGCAATCTCTCAGGTTGAAACATGTGAAAAATTCTTGAAGTAGTCTTTTTTTCAAGATGTTTGTCATATAATCAACATTTATATCTCCACATAGGTAAATAGTTTCAAATGTAAATTGTATAAATAATTCATTCCCTTTCTCTAAAAATAGTTGAAAATCACTGTTAGGACATCTGTACACATCAACTATCACACAATTTAGTATTTCAGATTTGATTTTGACGGAACAACACTCAAAACTTTCCTTCTGGGCAATGTTGCAATACTCGAGGGGAGAAACGATTCCATTTAACTGAGTTTTTGCATAAATCATGGTACCACCATGTAACTTTTTGCTTCTGCAGAAGCTCGTAATTAGTGCATAGTCAGGGATACTCATCAGTAAAATTTGTTCTTGTGGACACCAATGTTCTTGCACACATATGATATCAGCTTCCTCTATTTTTGAAAAGATTTTCAAATTAAAAATTTTGTTCGTGAGGCACTGGGCGTTTAAAGTTGATACTTTCAACGTTTCATCTTCTTGGGCTATGTGCTGATATTGGGTGGTTGTTTCCCCCTGAAAAACTTCTAATATTAAAGCGCTGAATAGCTGCTCCTTTGGGCCATGTCGCCGAATCGTAGGCTTTGTCAATATCCTCTAATGGAAAGGATACTTTGAATGATGTATATCTATGTGTTTTATTCCACTCTGTACAGTGGAAGTCGACTTTAGGTGCAGTTTCTGTCAACAATTTGTTCAGTTCCTGGGCGCTGGTGTCTGGATGAATTCTGCTCACATGCAGGTATCCTTGCCTTGGAATAGTTTCGATTTGTGTAGCCCTGGTATTATTTCCAATAATTCTGTTGTAGTATTTACCTGTTTTTTGAGAGGTCATTGCCCTCTGAACAGCTGTGCTCACCTGGGCCTCGCTGAAATATGAAATATACATTTTTTGCGAAGTCATTCACGACTAGTGTTTCTTGGGCAGGTATTGCTTTTTGTGTGGTTAGTGGGATTATCTTTCCGTTCACTTGTTTTGGATTGTTTGCTGATAAAAGTTTTTCAGAAGTTTCTGATTCTTGCAGGCTTCTAGTAGATGATTCGCCCGATTTCATTTTTTCGAAGTTGCAGAGTTGTTTAAGAAGCAATATGAGATCTTCTTGTTCCGTTGTTCGTTTTTCGAGATGATGAGAAAGTTTTCGTAACGTGTCTAACTCGTCTTGAAGAAGTTTAACTTGCATTGTCGAATTTTTGTGGACTTCATTTTCACGTTCCTTTGAGGTTACATTACTGTCGGCATCATAGAAAACTTCACTTTCACTCTTGTTTCCCATGAATCTAGTGAGCATGTCACTATTTATGGTTTCTGGTAGCTTTCTGGTTAGTATAATGTCGATTAACTCGTTTTTTTTGAGCTTATTGAGCTCAGTCACTAATATCGATACTTCGCCGGCCTCCATCATGCTCCATTGGGGAGATTTTGAATTGAAATCCCCTACAACTATTGATTTCTCTTTATTGTATCTTGTCAGCCTTGCAATTATCCAAAGGATTCTTACGAGGTCATCTAAACTTTCATTCGGTAAATCATAACAATTATATATAGTAAACTCAGGGGGTACTACTGTGTACGAAAAACTGTGCCCTCTTTCCTGTTTTGTGACTGTGATCAGATCGATAATTTTTACGCCTGTGTTCAAGTCATCATCGCCGATCCATTTCTTCCTATTTTTCACAGCATTTCGGTTAGGTTCACTCATTACAATAATTCAAGCCCATATGTTTTCGACTATAGTGAGTGCTAGGTCATGATATGGTCTTCTCCTAAAAGTATTACTTTGAAGTAGCTTCGCCATTTTGTAGTGTACCATGAGCCCTCTGAGAGACCTCCATTTTCCTTATACGCTTGTTCACCTTGCAATTTCGGGTTTTCCGACTGATTTTCTTCTTTCTTACAATAAACACAGTATTGAGTGTAAACACAGTCTTTTGCTAGGTGGCCTCCTTTTGCACATTTGAGATACAGTGATCTATCTGGCCCGTGAACTAGACTTCAATGTGTGCATGCACTCAGCACTTGCAGAACTTGTTACCATTTTTTTTTTCTAGGACTCTACACTGTGACCAAAGGATCTTAATTTTTCTCTTACTCAATAATTTCAGTGCATCTGACTCACGAAGTAATTACAACCGTAGCATTCTCCTTGCTTGTCAGCGTTATTAGTCTCAGACATCTCACATTTACATTTTCAACTCCTTCCGATATGTATTGGAAGATGGCTGCTTTGATTCCCTCAAGCGTGGTTTCATCATCCGTGTCTTTTATATAAAGTATTTTCTGGTTTATAAGGACATATGTTCCTTCCTTCCAAAACATTGAGTTTTTTTGTTCCATTTTTAAAATTCCTGGAATTCATTGCATCCTCCACCGTTTTCACTAGGTCTACATAACAAGTAATTCGACAAACCGATGAGTACGGCTTCCTGATTGTTTTCTTTTTGTTTTGCTAGAACATTTGATTTCTACTCTGCAAACCATAAGCCCGTAATCGCTTGTATGTCAGGTATAACCATATTCCTCTTCTAATGTTTGACCATGATATTTTTTACATCTTTCAAAGATTTCAAAATTCCCATGTCATCAAACCTAACGTTGGTGCCTTCATCCAAAATAATTGGGTAAAGTATCAACCTCGTAAGATGGGTTAAGTAGTCCTCTTCATCAAGAAAACCCAATGAGTTTATCATCATTGCTCTTCCCCTTTCCTTCTGTTCTGTCTCCTCAGTTCTTTTCTACCTTCAAGTCAATCGATAATTTTCGCCACCGATTTCTGTGCCGTGTTCAAAATTTTGTTACTTGGTAGAATTCACACTTGTTGATTAGGAAAATCCCAAATGATTCCACTTTGTTTCATGATTTCAGGGATTATTTCGTCCCGCTACTCCCGTTCAGTACCCATCTTCTTCGATGTTGGGGTTAGTGTCTTCCAGTTAGGCCTTGTGTACTGTTTCCATACATGTTCTGCCTGCGGAGATTGGATATCTCGGCGACCAGTTACTTTTTCCTTCCCAAGTCTTATGTCCCATTGTCTCTGATCCCAATTGTAAATTATTCCAACCACGATTTCACTTCTGCTAGGCACCTGGACTCTCTCTTAATAACAGTCTACTGAAGATATCTGTTAGCTACTTCTTTGGTTTGTACATCCTATTCACCACTTTGTCAAATTTTCTAATTTGTGAGCTTCTCAACTCAAGAATCATCCTGAGTTCCATTCCACACAAAGTATCACGCTAGGTATCAGAATTTTTGCGACTTCTATTTTTTTTCGATTACTGATCTGTTCCAACTGGAAGAGTGATTGAGTCCTGTTTCTTATAGGGGACCTCAACAGTTTGGACTTCCTTGGAATTTCATTACCTTTTACTTCAGTTGACTGGTATATTTTTCTGTCAAACCCATTTTTCGTTAATCATTTACTTACCATGAGTAGGGAAAAATTGAAATCCACCGTAGCAGTGCTCTCATACTCTGGTAAAGTCTATATACAATCGAAATCGACCATGGATCCGAAAGACATCGTTAGAGACTTCCATCTTAGGATTACCGGATTTTTGAGGTTCACTCCTCTTAAGTAAGAGAGAAAAGCAGAAAAATTGAGAGACCCTCAGCCCTCGAAAACCTAATAGCATCATAGTCTGATAAAACAACAAGGGATGATCGAGTCATGATTCTGACTAAGCAAGTGAATCATCAAATTTCCGATACTGGATCCCAATGTGGCACGTCAAATTCACACTCAATATTACCGAAAACCAACTCAATAACTACCGAACGGACTTTCATACAGTTTACATCAATAGACAGAGTGATTCGAAAAGGAGTATGTAATTTGTGTGCAAATTGGTTAATTTCAATGCGAAGTCAGGGAGGCCGCGCTATTCATTCGAAGCCCGGACGGACGCTTATATGATATACAGTGTGTAAAAGCCAAATGAAATAGATTCATTATTTCGGTTACGGTACATATTTTAACAAAATCTCGAAACACGACAAATTTAAATTATAATTTGACATACTTCAAAGAAAAATGCTACCCCTACCTTCAACCCTCGTCGAATGACAGGCACAACCCCCAATTTTTTAAATGGGAAGTAGAGGCTTATGATATATCGTTTGAAAGGTCTCTTCATTCTCTATTCAAAAATGTTATCGCTTTCAAGTTTATTGCAACAATTAAGATAAAATAAATTAAAATCATGTGGTTACCGAAATTCCATAAAATACACTCAAAACTTATTGCAATATACTCAAAACTTATTTCATGTTGAGATATTAATAATAAGAAAGTAAGCAAAAACCATAGCAATGTTCTTTTCAGATGGTATCCTTTAAAAAACTGTAAATAATTTCCGTGGCAACGTTAGTTTAAAACGCCTTGTCAACTTGTTTTGTATGTTACAACATTAGTTGTCAGTATTTTAATTCAAGTTTAAAGTTCGTTAACTTCAAGTCTGACAAATGGTTAGATTAATGAAAATGCATAAAATAACAGTTTTACAAATGATTGGTTACGGAGATAAAAACCCGAACACAACAGGAAGTAGCTCGCCTATTCCCTGAGAAATTTCCTAATTGATCGCCCATATCTCAAGGAACAATAAGCAAAATAGAGAAGTTGTTTCGCGATCTTGGTCATATGAGGCAGATAAAAAAAGCAGCTGTCAATGCAATGAGTGATACTTGAGTTTGAGGAAACCCCACCAACATCGAGTAGACAGGCATCCACTACATTCAATATTAGCCATACATCGATAGTAAACATATTTAAAGAAAATAAAATGCATCCCTATAAGATGATACCTACTCAGAAGCTCATGGAAGACGATTTTGATAGAAGAACTTATTTTTGTGAGCAATTAATGGACATGTTGGATAACGATATCATCCAATTAGAAGACGTTATGTTTTCTGATGAGTGTATTTTGTCTCTTAACGGTTATGCTAATCAGCAAAATTGCCGCTACTGGTCAACGAAAAATCCTCACTGGACGAGAGAAGAACACATGCAAAATCCCCAAAAGGTTAATGTTTGGGCAGCGAGTGTAGGGAATCATACCATTGTTCCCTTTTTCATCGAGGGCAACTTGAATGGCGATAATTATTTGGCACTACTTCAAAATGATGTCATTCCAAGTTTAGCAAATTTATAATCTGATCCAGGAACCCTCAAGTTCCAGTGAATACGATATAGTTTCAGCAGTATGGAGCACCACCACATTACGAAGTTAATGTCCGGCAATACCTCGATATGACATTTTCCAATCGGTGGATAGGAAGGCGAGGATCGATTGAATGGCCAGCGCGATTACCAGATCGCGCGATTTTTTTATGGGGATATGTGAAGAGCAATGTGTTAAAAACTAAAACTTCAGCTTTGAAAGACTTAAAAGAACGATTAACGCTTGCGATTAGGTCGGTCACGCCTGATATGTTAAATAATGCCTGAAGACAGTTTTATTTGAGATTAGGATGCTGCCATGATGCTCGCGGTGAATATTTTGAAAACCTTCTTCGTCCATACATCCATAGTTTTTTTCGTATTCTACGTTTAATTACTTTTATAAAATTTCGGTAACCACATTATTTTAATTTATTTTATCTCAATTGTTGCAATACACTTGAAAGGCGATAACATTTTTGAATAGAGCATGAAGAGACCTGTCAAACGATATATCACAAACCTATACTTCCCATTTAAAAAATTGGGATTTGTACCTGTCATCCAAAGGAGGTTGAATATAGGGGTGGCATTTTTACGTTCAAGAATGTCAAATTATAATTTACATTTGATGTGTTTCGGGATTTTTGGTAAATATGTACAGTAACCGAAATAATGAATTTATTCCATTTGGATTTTGTACACTGTAAAATAAAAAGTATTTTTCGTCGAGAAACCTCTGAATAATTTTGATGTATATCTGGAACGCTGTATTGTGAGAATTTTCAGTATAATAATAATGTACAGGGAATGACGTGTTGTGGTTTTTTAAACTATCAAGTATCGATCAAGTCCTTGAAAAAATCATCACATGTCTTATGAATGAGTAATAAATTGTATACTAATATCGATAACAAAATTCTCTCCGAACAAAAAATAATTTATTGATTTATGATCTACTGTTTTCTGAACCTTTGAACATAGCTCAATGTTGTACGGGACATCCATTCATTTCAATAGGTTCCTATGAATTTATGATCATCTTTATTATCGAATAGTTTTAAGTAATCTATGGAGTAAAAATGCGTTCGTCATCATGATTAAATATAAAACATATTGTTAGTCATTATCAGACGCATCTCATCTAATTTTCGATAACGGAACACCGCGTATAATTGCTATGATACACAAGGTCTATGAGCAAGTAACACTTTTACCTTTCTTATTACGGCGCATCTTCATTACAAGAGCGTATACCATATCTTTAAGAGTGGGGCATTTCTGTAACAACAATATATGATCCCCTACCGATCAAAATACCGGGTGCCCCTTTTATATTCATATAAATAGTATTTCACCGAAACTTCGATCAGTAGTGAAAACTCAGTGGTGGTTATTTTTTCTCCAAACCAAAAGATGAAATATTTGGTGGTAGGTATTTTTCAAATGCAAGTGATGTAGAAATAAGTGGATAAGTGCGTATTTTTTCGAGTGCTCGTGATGAAGTGATTCATTTAAAAAGGATTATATATTCCAGAACCCCATCAATCGAATATTTTTATGAAAGTATCATTCATCACAATTTATATAGAAGAGCGTCACGATTCAAAGTAGAATTCAATGACAGTAGTCTAAAATGATTCAAAAAACTATTATTGTGTTCCGTTTCACCCTACTGAAAGTGGACAAATAATTAACGAAAAATCAACATTCAACTTGTGTTTTAAAGGCAAATAAATACTACACAAATATTTCTGGAATTGTAGGTCACTCTTGATATCAGACATTTTTCATCATTTGAAATATTCCACATAATATTAAAAATCTTCAGTCCATATACTATATATATACTACATATATAAAAAAACTCATGGACTAGATGAATAGATATTTTATTTTCTGATGGACAAAAATCATTGTGAAAGAAAGGTCAACTCTCGAAACTGAAAATTTTTAAAAATAAGTAACTAAACTGTATAGTAATATTCTACCCACACACAAATTCTTCGATGCTATTAAGTAAACTCGCTTAAAATCACTTTAAGTTTTTTTCTGAATGCACACTCTTAGATTGTTCATCAATGAATTGAAAATCCTATCAGTCACAGCAATAAGACAAAAATGTGTCAAAATTAGGTATCTCGACATCTCTGAAAAATTTGAAAGAAACTAGAAAAGTTCGAGAAAGATAATCCATATCGTATTAGTCAAGTTGTGCAAATAAGGATGGTAATTATTTATATTCGAAAGCTTTTTGAGACTCCTGAATTGATACGATATTGAATTTTTTATTGTAATGAAAAGCAGTATTATTTCTGATCCATGTATGAATCAATACGCAGACCTAGAAATGTTATAGTTCCATTGTCAGTCTAAATAATTGATGGTAACAAAAAACCTGTTCTACAAGACATTATATCTCTGTTTTTATGTCAATTTCGAAATCAAATTGATTTTGAAGTAATTGATTCGTAGAATACTATTCATGAGAATTTTCAAAAACATTTGTATTTTTCTGTTAATATGTCTGTTCCATCTGAAATTATCACTTACGTTTCATCTGCATAACATATGAAACTCGGAATAATAGATCATCCAAGTTATTTACATATAAAATAAATGATATTGGTGCTAAAATAAAACTCTGTACTTCTGTGATATCAATTTTTGTTTTCGGAAAATTTTTTGTCCACAGTTACAAATTGATTTCTGATTTCTTAATATCTAGATGAACATTTCAACACGTATGTGTTTGTAAATTTTTCAAATTTAATGAGTGATAAGTGACAGATCCTAACAACAGTCACAACAGCTCCCAATAAGAAGTTTCCTGCTTGAATGGGATCATTATTTCATAGTATGAATGCATTGCATTTGTCGTTGAATAAAGGAAGTTAGTTGAGAATATTCCAAAATTTTAGTATTCTATTCAATCAGAAATATCAGCTTTTTCGTTAAAAAAAAAGAATTGATGAATTACTGTTTCACCAGTATTAGGAAATAGTATGAGAATTTAGTCATATGAATTCATGAAAACAGTATTTTGTCGGTGAAGAAACCAGGCTGTTGCCATGTTGTTAATATTCTTGTGCGAGATTAATATTTTTGTCACATCTTTGTCATAGACATTGAATGAAAGTAATTTTTTGTAGGAGAAATCAGAATTTTCAATAGACTTTTTATTGGGTATTTTCACCTTCCACAATCTGAAAAAAAATTGTAATGGAGAACTCACAGGTTTAGAAAGGGAAAACTGCCTAGTTCACTCGAGATGTTACTGCCTGAATTCAAAGTATATTTCACAAACAGAATGTTACGTTTATCAGTAATCTGTCGTATTTAATAATTATGCCAATTAGAAACAGAGCTAAGAAAGTATACACACATTTTATATCATAACGTTTCGCAGGCTGAAATCTGATTCTGTCCTCAGAATCAGAAGAAAATCTAATGATACTTCCGCTTTTTTATTTGGTTCTCTATATTTCCAAACTTTTCCGAAAGATTGTGGAGGGTAGAAATACCATGATCTCTGTACAACGAGCGACTATTTTAAATATATTAAAAATCTTGTGGAATTTTGAATATAGTCACATATTTCCTATTTTTTCTGAGTGAAAACTCTTGCGAATCAAGATGCTACAATTTTTTCAAAATGATCAATCACACAAGACACGTAGTTACCTCTCACCGGTCATTCAATGATTATTAAATTATCCTACAAAAGATGAGGAATCATTATTTATCGCCATCAGTTATCCAAGTAATTCGTTACATAAACCTTACACAGATTTTCAGATTATCTTATTAAAACTAGGAACTAATTAGTATGTACCCTACTTCAGCAATCATTTCGAAATTTATTAGTTTAAATAGTTCACGAGTTCATTAAAATTCAAGAGACATAAATGCAGCAATAATCGAAAACTGCGGACATGACGAGAATATAAGCACTGCAATTATAGTGCGTTTAATCATCACTACTTTCTAATAATTAAAATTTTGGATGTCATAAAAGGTTAGTCGATTTATAAACATTTTCAGTATCTTTATGTATCTCAACAATCTATTTATCAATTTTAATCCCAAGAGAGACCTTAGTGAATAATGTACACTCTTCAAAAATGTAACCATCTAGTGAAATGAGAATATGAATACGCCATTATCAGAGATCGACGAAGATTCAGTCCTAGACTTTTAGAGATAAATAAGGCGCCCCTTCATGCTTTATAGGGCACGTCTTTCCAGGACAGTTAAATTCAGCAATGCATTCGAAGTTCAGCCTGGAACCACTGATGAGACCCAAGGCGGGTGTGGCATCAGTTTCTCTGTTTTTCTTTATTGAAGTTTGTTTTGAAATGCAGTTCACCTATTTGTGCAATGTTCTGGAATCTGATATATAATCATTTTTCATTTTTTTCTTTCAACTGTACAATTTTGAAGTAATTCGTTCCGGAAATATATCCCTCTTCTCAAGAACCGGTAAATATGAAGATTGTTACTCTAGAATTGAAAAGAGGAAATGGATGAATACTTTCATCAGTTAAATATAAAAGTGAACGGAAATAAATGATATGATGTTCATGTATCATGTAAAATTAACTAAGTACTTGAGTTTTCAAAAATATAATGTAAATTGATGAGGATTTTATTTTATTGTATGATCAATGTTTTCGTTTTCAATTTCTCAATTTTGAGATGTAATGTTATTGAAATAAAAAAATAATTTTTGGGAAAGAAAGTTTTTGGCTTTCTACTACTCCATCTTGATACAAAAAAAGGGATGAGGGAATCTTTCAAAGAAAGGAAGGAAGTAATCACTTTGAAAATAAGTAACTCTATACATGGATGTGTAGATCATCCAAAGAAGTAACTTTCAGACACAAACTGAAAGAAAGTCCTCCTGAAACAGCTACTTTCATATAAACATTGAATTACACGAAAGAAAAAAAATCTTTCGAAACAAATACTTCTATATGAACACTGAATTATACAGAAGATACTTTTCTCTACTCAGTTTGTATTTCAAACATTCGTTGTAGAATAAAAATCAGATATCATTCACATGACTTCTACTTTGAATGAATGGTAATAATGCAATAAATTGCACTTACATGGAACACTGTCACCCTCACTGGTATACACCGATGTTTCGCGTTAAGACACTTACCCCAAGGCTCTTCAGTACCAAATTGGATAATATTATAGAAAATACACACAATTTATTCATGAATTACGATTTCTTTTTTTCTTTCTTTGAAACATTCCCTCATCCCTTCTTTTGTATCAAGATGGAGTAGTAGAAAGCTAAAAACTTTCTTTCCCAAAAATTATTAACTCCTAAAAATATAACCCCTTCAATTCAAAAAATTAATGTTTATTAAAAATATCAGGTCAATTTTGAATTATTTTTTTATTCAACAAAATTGTAATTAGTTATTGAGCAAATCTGTTTGGTGAAATACGCCTGGTACGGCACGTAAAAATGCGTAGCAATGGAAGATTTGCTAAGTTCACTCTAAACAAAATAGGTCAAAATGACTTCAATTCAATGAATACGCAAATTTTACCCTTCTCTTATAATCAGAAGTGCACAAATCAATCCTTCATAGGGCACCAATCTATTCAATCAAAAATGCACTAGGACCCCAGACCTGTTGATTTAATAGCGCAACAAATAACACCTGAATGGTTTTTGACAAATGTGTACCTTCACTGTCCTGCTATGAAGGGTGTCATTCACTCATGCGATAGAGAAGTTTTTTTGTTACATGTAATAAATGGGGATGTTCCTTCTGACGAAAATCAAGTAGTTTTCATAAAAGAGCTCTAAAACAACGCATTTTAAACTTATCATTTCAACCTTTTTCTTTAAAAAATTATTTAAATACTTAAAAAAGGGGAATGAAATAATGCATTCAACATTTAAAGGGATTCGTTTCTATTTCACCATTTGGCAACATCGGTTATAGCTAATAAAGGACAATGAATCTGTTACCTGAATGAGACAAACAAAGATAACATATTTCAGAGGCGTGCTATTCTGTTTATTTATGTTCCGAGTTCCGAAACATTCTGTAACATATGACATTTTGTGCACCTAACCTATCTTCCTGTATATAAATAAAATAAATAACAAAACAACTGTGGTTTATGCGGCTTGTGGAGGTGGTATTGAACTATAATTTATATTTTGTCTCAATTGTTGATTTATAAAGATAACTTTTCTTTTTTAAAGTGGAATATCTAGGTACGTATAAATTCTTCCAACTTGATATAGGCGCTGTTGCCTAAATGTGAATTAAAACCCAACATTTGAAACATCAATTTGAATACTTTTCGAAGTGAATAAGAAAAACTCATGGATTAAACTCAAGTTCATTTTGTTCAAACTTGCATTTGATGTAATAACCCAAATTGAGGAACATTGCCCATTCTGCCCTTTCGATTTACCATAGTTGCTATGATATCTGTATTATAATACTCATAGAGAAAGTGAAAGTTCATCTTTGGAATACTTCACTTCCAAGGCGTTTGACAGTTTCTGGTATGAGGATTTCACTAATTTTCAGTGTTGAATTTTCAGAGAGTTTTGCTCAAAGTTTTCTAGTTTTCTCAACTATTATTACAAGATATTGATGGTTTTCTTATTAGATACCCTAACCTTTTTCTATTGTATATCAAGGATTAATTGAAAAATATCAGAATTCCAATAAATTGCTCTGCTCATGACAGCATACTTACATTGTCTTCTGATCAAAATGCCCAAGCAGCAGCTATAGATGTATATTCTTGAATTACAGTACTGATTTTGACTTGGAGCAGATAGTTATCAAAAATTTAATGCCAGGAAATCTAATGTTTTCTCTAAGGAGTTAAATGTAGCAGATATCAATATAATAACGTTCTGTCATCCCGCAATTTCATTTACTGCATTGATCAATTTGTTGGGTGTCAATTGGTTAGTAATATGTTTAACCACAATCAGTTGCTATAATAGAAAATGTTTTTTTTGCTATTTGGGAGATGTCTACTTTGTCCATACTGCAACCTCTTGGGAACATTGCGTTTTTGATTACATTTTTCCAGGCATCTATTTTAACAATCATGTTTGTGAACGTATTTATTGGATATTTGTATTATTCTTCTAGACGTGATTTGGTACTTTTGTTGAATCATCCATAATTGAAATGCAGCTAGATGTTTTCAATTCTACATTATTCTGAAGTGAATAACAGAACACAAAATTAGACCATTTTTGTAGAATTCATCTCATATGGAGCTCGGTTCAAAGTATACCCTTAGGTGTACCCTGGATATGGAAACAAGCATTAAAAACAACTTCGATAGTCTAGCACATCATCTAGAATAGAACATCAAGTATTTTTGGCAAAAAATATTTTGGTAAAAATACTTCAAGTATTCACAATGGTTATTAATTGAAAACTAATATTCAAGTTACACTTTATTGTGTTATGCTATAGCGTTCTCATAGTGACCAATATGCCAATATGAAACCGCTGGTCAATATGAATACGATTGAAAAGTTATTGTATAACAAAAGACGTATTGGCGTTTTGTAAACTATCTAGAGGAAATCTCTAGTGTCACTTTCATAAGTTATGGATTTTTAACAAATATCGGCTAATTCCATCAAATATGAAAACAAATAGATTCATATGTCGTTTGAAAAACTCATTTGATTTTCTGGCCATAATTTTTTTTTTATATATTGAACATTTCTTTCATTCGTGTTATGGTTGTATTTCTCATTTTGCGGGTGAAGCAGTAACCCTCATTAATCGTGGATGTTCGTGCCTTGAGTTATCCTTAGATGATATCATCACCATTTCTTAGTATTGAACTGATTATGATAAATTCTGAGTCATAAATCTTATAATTATTTTTCTCCCATAGTAGTTCCAATTTTGGTATCTTCAGATATTTTTAATCATATCTCACATCAATTATTACTTGATTCACCCAAAGTAATGAACGATTCCATCATATCTATCCTCGTTGTGATAATACTGATTTGAAACCTACTCCTTTGGAAAGTTCAGTAACTTTCGTGTTGATGTTAATTTACCAAACGAACTTCAACAGTATGTGGCATGTATTCCAAACTTGTTATAGAGAAAATTAAGTCTGCAACTCTTGAGTTGATGGAGAAACTTTTTTGTCGTTGAAGATGAGAAAGCAACAAATACAATTGGAAAAGTGTTTTCCGCAAACGTTCACTTTGCCCCAACAAAAGTCACATGTAGAGAACTAATTCAACATAATGTAAAAGCGCAAGTAACATTATATTTCACTTCATGTGCGGGTACCCAAACACAATGTATCGATTTCAAACATAAGAAACCGTGTAATGAGAGTTTTGTACATTATACAATGCAGAGAAGAAATGCACGATTACGAAACGCCAGCAAAGCACCTAATTGAAGTATCCATTTTTATATTTGAAACTGTTAATAATAGTAATGACTATAATAGCACACTTTCTAGTAATTAGGGAAATTAATGGCTGCAGCACTCGCATTCTGATATATTTGTTCGAATATATGGTTGAAATCGAAATTTGTAGTTAGTTTTTGGTTACGTGGTTTATGCAGCTGCAAGTACCAATTATTTGAATATAATAACCTCCTGTGTATCCTTATTATCATTATTATTGCCGATTATTGTTATCTGCTTTTCCTTGTCAGTTCTCCAAATATAGTTATTTTAATCATCATTCAATCCAGTTGTGGATAATATTATATCGAAATAAAGATTTCACCTATTTCATCAAGATACGAATTGAAATGTATTTATTTTTTAATCGTAATTGAGTTTGTGCAATTGGTTACAGAGATGCGTTGTAAGATCAGTGATTTTTACAATCTACAACTGCATTCTTTCGAATAAACTTTGATATTTTCCTGATAATGGACTTGAGAAAACTAATATGTTGCTACTCTCACTGAACAATTTTCTACAGATGGGGAAACATGAAAGAACTATTTGGTACTTGTTATGTTTGATAGAAATTTGAGTTGATTTGTAATTCAAACTCATTAAAAACTGTTCCTGTTCGTTAATTTACAATTCTTTGACAACTATTTGAATTATGATACACAAATCATAAATATATGAGTTACATTCTAACGAGGTGTTCAATCAGATATATCAGTTTGACCTGATGCAACCAGCCCATCTAAAATATTGTTGGGTTCATTAGGCTGCTCCTCTTGAGCTGGAATTTCTTCTTGGGCAAGTTGGTTGCTTTCCAGTTAATCTACAAATAATCTTTCCATACCTGTTTTTCTTCTGGTTCTCCTTGAATATTTATAAATGTAAATATACCTTGCATGAACTTTTCCACCCACACCTTAATAGACGTGCCTCTTCAAAGGTGTTGATTTTTCGTGGAGAGCAATATTGAAAACTTCATGCCTATACGATTTTTTGATGAAATGCCATTGATAGTTTTGATGTCAGACTAAAGTAGTTGTAATCTTAATGTATATTCATTTGTGAATTGAGCTGTCGGCAACATTTCTTGAACTGATTTCTCACAATCTCATGTCAAGTCTTGGTTACACTTCTGATTTTTTACTGTACATGTAGATTCTGAAATTGCTTGTTAATTTTTCGAAAAATTGCTTTTGTTGTAACCTAGACGTTCTTCTTAGGCGCAAAATGATCTTCCAATAAATAAGTATCTATTGAGCACGTTGAGGATTTTTTTAAATAACTTGCTTCATTTGAAAGTAATTGTGCACCTTGTGTTTGTAATTTGCTAATAATTCTTTCAAAGGATAAAAAATGTTTGAAGTAAGGTAACATTTATGATGCACTGTTTGGAACCTCTGGTGTAGTAATGATTATTACTGGAGTTTTATCCCAACACCAGCCGTTATATTTGAAACCTCAACACGTGTTTCGAATACAAAGTGTTCATCTTCAAGGGAAAGATTAGAGTTCAATCATAGCACTGTTTGGGAATAAAATATTATGTTCTTAATTTCCGCGTTTCGAATCGAGTTATTCATTTTCATTAGATTAATAACAAGAGTTGCACAAGGATTAAAATTGCGAGATAGATTTTGTCAATAGTAGTATAGGTACTATATATAATAAGAACTATCAAAGCCAATATCATCATTCGGTCAACTTAGCGAAAGTTGGATGGTTAAAATAGCTTCCCGCACATGAGCAATAGGTATGATTCAAACACTTCAAATATATTTTAGAGGAAGTCAGAAAGAAGTTGCTAATTTTAGATTTTATATCATTCTAGGCAATATCAACGCTGGTAGCGGTTGCGTTTGCAAGGCCTGAAGCTGGGTACAGCTACAGTGCTCCGAGCGGACCGAGTGCCTCCGGAGGTGGCTATCCTACAGGACCTTCTTCATCGTACGGTGCCCCGCCTCAGCAGCCAGTTGTCCAGAAACATGTATACGTTCATGTTCCACCACCAGAAACTGACTTTCCAGCGCCAAGGAAACCCATTACCGTTGCTCCAGCACAGAAACATTACAAGATTATCTTCATAAAGGTAAGTACAAAAGATCCTTGTGAAAACCCTTGACCTACTTAAAAGAATATTTCCTTTCAGAAAAGTGTCGGTAATGGAATTTATTCGCAACGTAAACAATTGACTGTAAACTGTTTTTGAATTGCGAAATCAGGTTTTGTGTCTTCATGAGTAAACTAGATAGCTGAAGATTTCCAAAGAGCTGAATTAGGCACTTTGATATTTGAATAAATTTCAAACCCAGAGATGATGTACTAGGAGACCAAACATATTTCACAGCCTAAGATTAATATGGTCTTATGAACATTTTACTAATTCATTTAAGACGCGGGTTGTTGAATTTATGGTCTGAGTTATTGAATTTCTACGGACTATACTACAGTTCACACTAAGTATTATAATTTTTTTGATATCAGAAGACATCATCAGTTTTTGAAAAGTAAAGTTGAGTTAACCTCTTTCACTGAGTTGAGTCTTATTCGTCAGGATCCTGAACTTCGTTATAGAAGTTTATGAGCTGGTATGAATAAATAATGAAATTAATATGAATATAACTGTATTTTCTGGAAAATTCATGTCAGTCAATCTTTTAAATGCTGCCCTAGAACTGTCTTTCTCTATTCCTAAACTGAAAAAAAAACAACTACCAAAACAGGCACAGTAATTAATGACTGTATCAAATATCTGGTCTTACTGGTTAGTACATTAACTTCTTCTTTTGATCATCAGGATTTTTGCATGAAATGCATAATAATTGTAGTGATATTATAGTCGACTAATGTAATCTGAAAAGTATTTTCTTTTAAGAGTATATATATATTCTCCAAGACATTAATTATGAAAGTTCAAAATTTTCCGGTTGATTTCGAGATCCTTTATATACAAATCATAAGAAATAAATAAGGGAGAAAAGTTAATTTTTCTGTCCTGGATTTCTTGCTGTTCCCTCAACGGTAGAACATGAATATACTCCCACTTCTATCAGAGATTTATGTCATTGATTATATGGTGAAACATTTTCAATCAGCTCTTCATTGAATAACTGCAATGTCCAACTCAATTTTAAAAGAATATACTTTTCAGGATAATTTCAAGTATACCCAAGAATGTACTACGGCACAATAAATGATTTTTTTTTATTTTTCAGGCACCAACTCCACCAACCCCAACTGCACCAATCATTCCAGCTCAACCACAAAACGAAGAGAAGACCTTGGTATACGTGTTGGTCAAGAAACCTGATCCAGAACCAGAAATCACCATCCCAACACCTGCTCCCACTCAGCCAAGCAAACCAGAAGTATACTTCATCAGATACAAGACACAGGTATGAAAAACAAAGATATTAAAAAATAATCGATGAATACCATCAGCATTATAGTAAATGTTATTTGTTACCAAGAAATGAGGAGTTTTTTGACAAGCGAATCTCCAGAGAGAATCAGTTTTAAAAGATGAGAAACGGGAAGAGAAGTTTCACTTCTTGTTTGAAACGTATTCACCTGGTTACAGATAATCAAATGTTGTTGGTAACGGCATTTTTCAATTGCAGTTGTTTATCATCTTTCAATGCTGACTCTCTCAATTATAATTTTCCACAGGTTTCTAAGAAGCTTAGTACATCAAAGCCTTATCTTTCTTTCCTGAAGTTGTAGAGTTTCTTATTGCTCCCATCATTGACATATGTTCAGTTTTTCTAAAACATTTCGTTTATTAGCTCGTTACTTTTTTTCCTTTCATCAAGCCATCAAAATTCAAACCAAAGTTTTTCACAAACAAGTTTCAACAATTCCTAATGCTTGTGCCGTTCAACACTTTCATTAGACTATTGCCCATATTCTATATACATTATCTGTACCTACTGTCAACTATTGAAATTTTTGTAGTATATCGGAACTTTGGATGAGGAGTAGTCAAGTGTAGAACATTATTTTTTAAATTCTCACGATATGATTTTCTCTGATATTTTGTGCTTTTATCGTTTTTTGTACATAACTTTTCACTAGTAATTGCACTTGAAAAGAGAGTTGATTGAACAAATTCACTTTTTCATTCAGCTTGTGGGTAATTGAAAATATTATTGGTTAAATTTGTCCATAAAATACTCACCCCGCCAAAAAAAACCATTTATGATACCACTAATTTTTTCAGAAGGAAGAAGGTGGATACCCAGCGAGTGGTCAACCAGATACTTCTTACGGTGCTCCTACTGGTGGAGCTAGCCCTTCTAGCGAATATGGTGCCCCAAGATCTAGTTTCTAAGATGAAGATATACTGAGGAAATGTAAATTTGTAAATACCTCTTATGCCAGTTGAACACTATATATATTGTGATTCTTATATTCTAAATAAGAGCTTAAAACCGGTAGACAAATGTATCAGATGAAAAAATAATCATAGAAAAACGATTGCTTCATGGCCCAAACTATTCATGACGAGAACGTATTGTTCTAATTGACTGAATAGTTGAATCATAATAAATCAGTCAATATTTGACCCACAAACTGATAAACTGAGGATGTCGTTTTGTTAAAATACTTATTGTTGTTATTCTTGCAATAATTTTTAGTGAATTAACGAGAATAAGTAACTCACGATTATCTGATAAGATGAGGATGATATATTCAAAAAAGCTTCATACAAATATTCCGTAATTTAGGTCTGAGATTTTATTGTAGTGTTACTCATATTTACTCATACGTACCTTTGTACCAAAGTAGGTACCTATAAATATTTTTTTACTTTTATTTTTGAATAAAAATGAATGAAAATGAAGATTATTTTTGTTTTTATACATTTATGCTGTGATGAGTGTGGAATCTAAAGAATAACTCTAAAATCCTGAAAAATGAGGGACTCGCTGAGTACCGACTCGAGTCAGTCTAGTAAGGTACACTGGTATTATTATGTTTCATAAAGCCTGGGATGTAATTGAACTGCTAGTAAAAAATTAAGGAGCAACTCAATTGCCAGTGTGCGCAGAACATAAAAAAGCGTTTCACTGTTTGGTGAAATTCAATTCCTATATTTTATTTAATAATATCTAAATGAGCAAAGTATTTCGATAAATGAAGGTGAAAACATTTAGTCATATTACCTACATACAAACTTCTACGGAAATGAAATGAATTTTGAACTTCTGAAGTAGAAATGAAAAATAGACTCTCATGAATAATTCACCAAACTTTTTTGCCCACAGTGTTAACTATAAAAGTCCTTAAACAAGAAAATCGTTTTACAAACTATCAATATATTTAACCAAAGTTTTAATCAAATTACTTGAACAGTTTTTGAAAAACAGCTTCTTTGGCTTCCTACTTCTCCAGCTGCATACAAAAATAGGAGTAATGAAAAAATTACAATTTATTTGACAATGATCAAATTAACAAAACGCTCTGAAATGTAGAAAGATAAAAAAATTCAAGTCTGTATTTGATATTTCAAAGTTGAGGATGCTCCTTGTCTGGCGACGCCCTGTATAAACATTCTTTGATCATCTATGTCCGTATTTATACACAAAATGTGGGAAACTTCCAATGGAAGAAAGAAAGCAATCAAGTTCAAAATAAACTCTTTACAAAGATATGTGTATCATGCATAGATGTTACTTTCAGATACCAACTGAAAAAAGTCTTTCCGAAACCATTATTTCCACATGTAATGTACTCATATATTTATATATTAGGCTATTTCAAAAGTTTTATCCGTTTTTATGAGTCAACTTCAAACTGAAATATCTCAGTGAACTCTTATTCAATTCAATCAAAGTAAGCGGCATTTAAATGAGTGCACTTTTGCCAACGTAACACAAGTCCGTCAATTCAGTCAGCATGAAAAGTGTGTCCTCGGGATTCGATGAAATTGACGTAGGCCTTTTTGCCTGGTCCTGATTGGCGAAAGAAGTTATCAAAATGCTTGAAAAGATGCTAATTGGTTGGCGGGAGGTCTTGGGAGTATGGTGGGAAAGGCTCAATTCGTTTAATTTTCGGATTGTGATTTGTGAAACGTGCGGACGAACGTTGTCGCGAAGCAGGATCCGACCTCTTCTGCTGATCGGTGCCGACTGCTGCTGACGCAATTTTTTATATACTTCATCGATTTCCGTCGATTTCGAACCAAACCATCTTTGACAGTTTGGCCTAGTTGCATAAAGTTATAGTGAATCACATCAGCCGCTGACCATCATACAGTAACCATGGACTTTTTTTTTGTAGGTTTTCGCTTTTGGGAAGTGCCAGGGTAGCTAATCAGTGTTCAACCACTATCCCAAACGTCTCTTGTCGCCATAGACGATCCACATTTCATCACACGTAACGATCCGATCCAGAAAAAGATCGTTTCAGTTGCGCGAAAGCAAAGAAGAACAGACCTAGAAACGTGACAATTTTTATCGATCGTTCAAATCGAAAATTTGTCCTGAAATCTTTCACCTGGATTACTGTAGATCGACCACTTCGTGGCTCATCTTCGAGGCTAAAATCCACGTGTTAAATATTGCCAAATGTTTCCCAGATTTTTGTAAGAAGATGCTGGAGGAATATAAAACCTAAAACTAAACTCTCCTATAAAATAAACCCTTTGATTCCTTTCAGTGTAAACTGAACAGCATTCTCATAGTATTTTTTTTTTCAAGAAATGTTTGATGTTATTCTTCAAATTACATAACTCTTTCAATCGGTTCATAAATGATCAAACACTAATTGTTAAGTGAATCTTATCACAATAGATTCGTGAAAACTGCACCCACATCGAACCATTTTTGAGATTATTACGCTCAAATGCACAGACAAACAGATATCAATCAGTTACACAATTATTATATTCGGAAGAATTTGCCTTCTAGTTTGAAAAATCAATTTTGACTATTGGTTCTTTACCAACGGAAGTTATTTTGAGACCGACTTTTTCATATATTTTGTTTTTGTTGCGTTTTATAATGAGATCAGGTTCTTCATATTCTCATACATCAAGTGAGAAATTCAAACGACTGAATACTGTCTTCATTACTTTTTGATTCATTAGAAACTGATAAACTACTCTGTGACGGCGATTTATTTTTCAAACGTTGATTTGAGCACTTTTTTTCATTAGGCAAAATAATTGAATACCTTAAGTTACTGATGAATAGAAAATATTTCTTTGTGAAAAATCATTTGAATTCATGCAGTAACTACATGCTCTTTTACATGAAGGCTTCATTACGATTTTTATTTTTCTCTGATTGTGAAAATCTCCAAAAAATTGATCAATAAATGTAAACTTTTACGGGTGTCAAAGCTATTTTCTAGGTTTTTTGGGCGTGGTCTACGTTTCGTCTACTATTGCGGTAGACGGTCAAAGTGACCAATTTTGTGTACAATTAAGAACAGGTAGCCAGATTTCATAATTGTTCATTACTTCTTTTTTATTGAGAATATCCCTGGTATTTTTGAATTTCAATCACCTCTATTACATACTCTTGGATAGTAAATTTGAGTTTCATTGAGTATCACTGTATTTTCGAATGGAATAATGTGAGATCTTCTTTGAGAACATATTCGGATACATCTGATTTGTTGGTTTGCTGAGGCGACACTTTCTCTTGTGTTCCCAGACACGGGGGTATAGTTCAAGTAAACGATATAGTGAAACCTACCTTCCCTATTTATAATATAGTTAGGGAGCTAACTAATTTCGTTATTCAATAACCATTTCTTCTCTGTTTCACTATCACTGTCGTCATTTAAATCAATAATACATTTATGTCCACCATTAATATGGACCTCAATATAGACTTTTTCAACTGAACTTACTTTTTTAATCCTTTTCTTTGAGTCTTCTTCGGAAATATTAGATACTTCTCTATTACCTGATGCTTTGTTTCAATTTTCCCCAAATCAATTCGATGGGATTGAAAACACTAAAATATGGGGGAAAGTCTCAATATGGTATGTCCATACTTTTCAGCAATACTCTCAAGGGCATACACTTTTTCAAATGTATTTGTCTGTAAAACTTCAAGTAGTTGGTTTTTGGTATAGTAATCTTCAAAATACAAATTGTTATCCATAGAAAAACTATACCTATACTTATTTTCGTGGTTCAAATGTAGACCGACCCGTAGCTACAAGAAATTCGGCATACCACGGGTGTTGAAGACTCCCTGGGGTCCTTAGCAGACAATAGATCGACTTTCTCTGATAATTTTTGGTGGCCCAAATATTGGTGTCACGTCGTGTGTCTCTAAAATGTTCCCAATCCGGTCTGTAACATTTTTAACATAGGAAATTTTCCTTCGCTGTACCCAATCACCAAAAAAATGCCTTCAAAGGGAATGGATATAACAAAGGAGAATTTGAGCGGTTCATACGACCCAGGAGAGAGAACTTCAAAGTAACTCCAGCTAGGGTTAGTCGAGGTGAAAGCTTTCCTTCCCTATGGTCAACAATATTGACTATACTGTGTACTGAGACGCCGCCATACTCAATAATTTGTATCTGTACATGAACCTCTTAGTGAATTAACTAAATGATATTACTAAATTTCACCAAAATCGGATAAGGAATATTCAAAATATCAATGCCAATAATAATTTTTTAGAAAAGTATTTAACTGATAGCCCAAAACACGTATTTATACAGTGCATTATATTTAAAACGAGCCACCCTGAATAACTTTTGGTACAATGATTTACAGGAATTTCAACAAAGTATAAAACATATGGTTTGAAGCTTATGGTTCTGGAGCAACAAATTATTTGAGTTGAAAACGAGTCACCCTGTATAACTTTTAGATCAATGATTTTCAGGAAAAATTAAAAAACACTATAACAATAAAATACAGGGAGACACGTTTTGACATTTTTCACATTTGATCTAACTTTCCCTATCGCACCCCCAGAGCATGTCACCATTTTTTTAAATTGATCAATTGTTTTGCATTATCAGATGTTCCATGATGAACATATTTCAACAAAGTATATAGAAGCTCATAATTTGGAAGCTAAAAATTATTTGAGTTGAAAACGAGCAACCCTGAATGAACTTCTGTACAATCTGTTTACCTAGGTTTCATAGGTTTCTTTGTGAAGTATACCTCAAAAAAGTCTTATTTTGCCTAGTTAAGTTTGAATTCAATATTTTCTTCATTTTGTATTTATCTCATTCTACAATAACGATTACCTACCAGGTGAAGTTACAATGGGTGTTTCTGTTTTCGTGAATTCTTGAGAAGCAATGGGTTATACGCTTCGAGAACGGATTGAAATAGTGAGTTTTTAGTAACAGAATGGAAATAGTGCTAGAGTTGCTGTCCGTATGTTCAATGATAACCATCCAGGAAGTATACTTCAAAAAAGTCTTATTTTGCCTAGTTAAGTTTGAATTCGATATTCTCTTCATTTTGTATTTGTCTCATTCTACAATAACGATTACCTACCAGGTGAAGTTACAATGGGTGTTTCTTCTGTTGTTTTTCAATTCTTGAGAAGCAACCGTTTATACGCTTCGAGAATGGATTGAAATGGTGAGTTTGTACTACCAGAATGGAAACAGTGTATGTTCAATGAATCATCCAGGAAGAAATGTACGACACAAATACGTTTCGGAATTATTGAACAAGTTTATGGAAACTGTACCTGTTAACAATAAAAAGCATAACCATTCAGGAGTTGTCAAAAATGAAGCTATTTGTACTGCAACTTTAGGGCACGTTGGACTAATGGAAAATTCGCAATCTCTTACTGAGTTATCTCGAGAATCAGGAATCAGTCGTACAAATGTTTTCAGGAACCTTCGTA